AGAATAACGATCAGTGTCCCTACACAAAGGTTTGAGGTTGTCTGAGATGTATGAAACCAGCATGTTGATGGGTGAGCTGGAAAGCAACACCCAGCAAGCATTCCAGGGAGTCTGATGGGCACTGGAAGCTGAGGAGCAATCTTCTCAGAGAGCACTCGTTCAGGTGTGTGTGTGTGGGAGCTACCACGGTACGGGAGAAAAACTGACGAGGAGGAGCATGGGTTGACAAAAAGCAAGAAAGGGGCTTTAAGACTATCTGGTGAGGCAGCACAGCTGCCAGTTAGAACCTGATCAAGTGCTGGGCAGTGGTGGCGCACGCTCTTAACCCCAGCACTGGGGGGGGGGGGGGGGGGGGGGGGGGCAGAGGCAGGTAGATCTCTGTGAGTTCGAGGCCAGCCTGGTCTACAGAGAGAGATCCAGGACAACCAGAGCTACACAGAGAAACCCTGTCTCAAAAAAAAAAAAAAAAAAAAGAACCTGCTCAAGTGACATGAGTTAAGCTCTCAGAAGGAAGCCTCAAACTATCTAACAGTGAAGTGAAAGCTCCCAATTCCCAAAGGAAAAAGTCAGGAGAACTCCCCTTGAGACTTTTACATAGGAAAAATCAATGTATTTAAAGGGGGGGGATCTTACTCTTAATGTAACTGAAAATGTTTTCAAATATTTCATAATAAATATCTAAAGATCTAAATTAAAAAAAAAAAAAAAACCTCTCTGCACAGGAATAAAAACATCCAAAAGAAACGGCACATACTTTTTTCTGATTGCAAACACAAGTGTTCTAAACTAAAGCTAGCATAGTGGGACATGACTAACAGAACATGAGAGTTAGGTACAATGGGTAGTCTTTCCAGGAAGAGTAGCAATATTCTGTGACATCTATGATACCAAAGCCTAGATGATGCTTTGGTTTTGAGTCAACATGTTTGGTTTATGTGTCACCTTCTGGGAGGAGAATGACAGCAATTTGCGCTGCCATCAGAAAATAAGTCTGGAATGTCCACAAAATGATGCTCATGCTCTCCATTGAGTATCTGGTATCTTTGTTTCAAACACATACCTATCATGTATGCACCACTAACACACCTTGCACCCCCAGCGTGTAGCTGCTGACATCAGAATGAAGGCTGAGTCTTTGTGGGTCCATGTACCCTTAGACTTACACTATGTGGCACACGAAGGGGCTCAGTGACTCCACTGCATGGATGCAAAGTGCAGCCTTGGACATATGTCTGAAACCCTGCCCTGAGAATGTGCTACTCCAGGGAAGTAGCATACACCACACTGGGCTCTTGTTAAGATAGCTTTCATTTTACCACTAAGAACTGACACACCTAACTAGTTAAATGATATAAAACCTGTGTTGGTTTGAATGTAATTGGCCCCATAATCTCATAGGGAGTGGCACTAATAGGAGGTGTGGCTTTGTTGGAGTGGGAATGGTCTTGCTGGAGGAAGTGTATAACTGTGGGGCGGGCTATGAGGCCTCATATATGCTCAAGACATTCCCGGTTTCTCAGACCACTTCCTGCTGCCTGTGGGTCAAGATGTAAGAGTTCTCAGTTACCTCTCCAGCACCATGTCTGCCTGCATGCATGCTGCTTTGTTTCCCACCATGATGACAATGAACTGAACCTCGGAACTGTAAGCAAGCCACCCCAATGAAATGTTTTTCTTTATAAGAGTTGCCATGGTCATGGTGTCTCTTCAGAGCAATAGAAACCCCAACTAAGACAAACCTCAAGGGAGTTTTAAAATTCCTTTAGAGCAGGAGTTAGCAATCTATGGCAACATTCAAATGCAGCCTGCTATTTGCAGCCTGTTATTTTTGTGTATTTTATTGGGACACAGTCATGTCTGTTCATCTACATAGTCTAGTTGTTTATGTGCTATAAAGGCAGAAAAAATATTAAGATTAATTTACTTTTTTGGTGTGTTTATGCATGTGTACAAGTGTCTAGACGACAGATATTATCTAGGTTGACAGATTGTTCCACAGGTACTGTCCACATTGTTTTTGAGACAGGATCTGTTCCTGGCCTGAAGCTTACCAAACAGGTTATGCTGACCAGGCAGCAAGCCCCTGTGACCCACTGGTCTCTGCCTCCCTAGCACTGGGTTTACAAGTGTGTACTGTAACACCCAGCTTTTTAATGTGGGTTCTGGGAAATGAATTCAGGTTGTCATGCTTGCATAAGTTATTTTATTGACTGAGCCATCTCACAATGCCCACACTGGGATAGTCACTGACACATTAGAAGGAAAAATAAAGATGAAGGTGTCTAAAGCAGTCGTTACTTTAAAAAATGAGTTTAGCATCACAGACTGCCCTACTGCAATGAAATACATGACAGGATTATAGGTGTGCTAAAGATGTATGAAATGTATAAACAGTTTTTGAAGCTCAAAGAATAAGGGAAAAAATGGGCACCATAGAAGATACTGGTAAGCAACAATCTAGCTTGAAGGGCAGAGAGAAGACATTGGCAAGACTCACTATGGAGGATAATGTACAAAGAAGATGGCAAGTGAGATGCTGGCAGAGATGCTTGTGTCCAAAGTTTTATGCTTACAAGACGGTGTCAGTAACAGGGTGAGTACCACAACCTGCCGATTGTTTACTAAATGCTAGGAATACTATCATCCCATTGCACATGCATACACCACCACCACCACCACCACCACCACCACCACCACACACACACACACGCTGCGGTGTAGTGATGGGCAGACACACTGAACTTTAGATTTAATGAGGTATGTCAGCAAAGACAGCTGGAGACCAAGACTGGGTATTTGGGAGAAGAGCTTTAAGTCCATGCAGATCCAGGAGCCTCTTGTACAGACATAACAGCTGCTGGCATCTTACCCAGCTTCTGAAAACCTCATACTGTTCCAAGACCCATTTTATTTGCAAAGAAGTGTAAACCAACATGACTGAGTATCTACACCCTAAGGTGAACAGTCAGCTAGAGGACAGCTAGCACTGACCTTAGCATACTTTCTAGAAGAAATTATTGACTAAAAGAAGCTGTTACTTAAAAAATATGATGCTGAACACAGGCAACTGCCAGTCATATGGAAATTTTATGGAGAACACATTTCCTCCTTTATCAAGGAAACAATCTCCAGGACCCTAAAAACCAAAGCAAACTGAAATGACAATCTTTTATATATTCATGCCACTCTAGTATGCTAAACTGGATGTATTTTTGCCAAGTCAAAATATCTGAATATGCATTTATTGAGAATGATAAACATAACTTTGTAATGACAAGACAGTTGGCCTATAACGTCTAATATGGAATGTTTTAATCTAAAGTAAACAAGTCTATAAGTTCTCTGTAAATTGTATACTCTGGAAAGACAATGTTATTATCTCCTACTGGAATGCAATTTCATTGCTAAAAGGATCTTATCACATGACTAATAAAAACTAGTCATTCTCAGTGAAAACACAGTTGCAGAAGATGAGGTATACCAGAAAGTCCAGGCCCATCCTGCTATAACTGGTTTCCAGGTACCTGACTACTCTCTATGCAACTGTATAACCTGATCTCTTTTGCATCATGTCCTCTCCCAGGCCCTTCTGCCACTCTCTGCTTTTTTATGGTTAATACAAATGGCTAGGGTTAAAGATATTTGCTATCAGAACCCAGCAGGCTGTCCTGTATTCCACGATTACCTTTTGATCATATACACTTTGATTTCTTTGAGTTTTAGAAGTGGGCATTGTGCCAAGCAGCCAAATTTGACTGGTTAAGTGAGCAACTTATCACCTTTCTTCACCCTCCATAGCCCAATTTACCTTGACTTAAATTCAAGTAGAATAAACCTCATCTCACAGTTAATAAAGAAAGGAGAATGGAAACAACACACCAACCAAAGCAAACCAAATTACCAATAACCAAGCCCAGAGGACAAATCATTTCCTTTTGTTTTATGACAGTATTAAAATGATACAGGCTGCCTTCCTCAGCTCTGGTAACCTGAATTATCAGGCTATCCGGAATAGGTAAGTAGAAAGATGACTATGCCAAGCTGACATCAAACTAACTAAGATGAATATCATTTCATTTTGTAAAAGTAATCTGAGTGTCAAATTTGCATATTGATGCAAATAATAAACAACCCACCCACACACTCCCTGAAATGGTGACTGATGTCTGCCACCTGCAATGATCTGAGATCAGATAACATATTTCATCCCTTATTTTCTTTTCTTTCAGCACAGATTAAAGCCAGGACTCTGCACACACTAGCAAGCGTGGCAGGACATGAGCCACATCCTGGCTTCCTGGCCATGCTTAAACACAGGGATTTCTGCTGAGTGTGGTGGCATATGCCTGTAATCCCAGCACTCTGGAGGCAAAGGCAGGCAACCTGGCAGATCTCTGTGAGTTCCAGGACAGTTAAGGCTACACAGAGAAACCCTGTCTTGAAAAACCAAGGGAAAAAAAAAAAAAAAGAGCATGGATTTCAAGAACCAAGATGGACAGCACTATCACTGGCCCCTTCCTTCTGGATCCCGGTGGGTACTACCCCACAGGGCAGTCTAGGACAAGGAGCTGCCTCCAGATGTCATTAGTCACCACGAAGACACAATGCCCAGTGGCGCTCCCTGAGCCCAGGGTTTGTCAGAACACCCCTGTACACCTTTCTGTGTGGTGCTCTCTCCATGAGCCTGTATGCATCGGCCAGCTGGCTGTGTGAACTCTGGGATTTCCAGAATTATAAATGTAAATATTGGAACCCAGTCATATATTCTTGAAATAAGTGGATTTAGAAACTTTTTTAGTAGCATGTGAGGATATTTTAAAATATTCTAACGGGATTGCTACCAAGTTTAGAAGTGCGATTATTTTAGTATTTTTAACTTGAGAGTGATTTTTATAAGTCTAGATTTTCCTTGACAGCCAAACAATTAGTATAGCAGCTAGCTACTTAACTTAATCGAGTTACTTAATTATACATAAAGAAATGGAAGGAAGCAATCTTACCTTACAAAATTTTGCTGCATATTTTCAGCCCTCATTAAAATTTGGACCCCAGTCTGTGAGTGTACATAGGCTTTCAATCTGAAATAAAACATTACAGAGGAAAAAGAAAAATTAAATGCATTCCAAGATAGTCTTTATGAAGACTGAATATTTATGAGTAGCTAATAATGTTTATAATTAATCTAAGAATAGAGAAAAAAGTAAAGGTATTTTCTAAGATGTGAAAAAAATTCTCTCTCTGGTTAATTAGATAACCTTATTTAGTTTTGGGAGGACTTGGCTGAAATATAATTTCCTGTCTTTAATAGTTGCTAGAAAAGTTTTCAGTTGTAGAATTTATGGTTCAATTTGAAAGGCAGTCTAGTCTAAGGGTATACTGCAGAGGTTTGAAATCTCAGTTTCCTTGCTTATTAGTCACAGGAGGTTACTTTACTTACTTAAGGCTCAGTTTCTCCACCTGTACAATGGGTATGAACCAGTCTCTCCTTATACAGAGCTGCTGTGGTGGTTAAATGAATTAACTGATCTTCATGCCTGCCTGCTTGAGTGTCTGTATAATGACTGCACTTCACAACACATTTTAATACAGTCATAGCTTCCCATAAAATACACACATAAAAATACTTTAAACATCTGCATTTTCTGACATGGCCCGGCAGGTAAAGATGCTGGGGGTCAAGCCTGATGGCACGAGTTCTAGCTCTGAGGTCCCCATGGCGGAAGGAGAGAGCCTTTTCCCCGAAGATTTCACTCCACACGTATGAGTGCCCAATCACACATTTTTAAGTCAACACTTAACCATGTCAGGAACTACACAATTTTTGAAACATACCTTTGACGAATCACAGGATCAGACTTCTCAGGATCGATGTAAGGTTTTAGAATTTCATTAATAGTTTTATCATCTGGTACTCTTTCCAACATAGAAGGAAGAGAGTGAAATTATTATTTATAATTCACCACTGTGTTAACTTAAAATTGCTAAATTTAATTTAGTAGAAAAACCGAAAAAGGACCCTTTATTTTACTCTTGGCAAAATACAGCATATACCATTCTTTCATGCTAAAATTATATAGAAGAAAAACACAGAAAGGCTTTTAAGAAATATGTTATAAAGTCTGTAAAAAGCTGAGAAAAGCTTATCGATCACTTATAAAAATATGAACCTGCTCTTGACACACACCTACGTCCATACTTAAGAAGTTAAAACTGGAACACGCATGATGTTCATAGAAACAGCTGGAGTTGCTTTTGGGAGGCTGCAGCTCCGCAGTGTTCAGGTCATTCATTTAGAGCCACAAACTGCTAGAAGCTGAGACTGCTTTCCTCGGGACAGAGCACTCTACGTCTTCACTGTGCCGTCTATGTGCACAGCTTTACATTTCCACAAAAAGCTGTACAGTCAAATGAAGACTCCCCTGAAACAGTAACTTCCCTGAACTCAGCCCTCTGTGTAAAGTAAGGGGAGCCTTGACTACATGCCTGTTACAAAATTCTTTACCAACAACCACGACAATTGGAAAGAAAGGTACTGCATAACGGGGACAGATGCCAAGGATACTATTTGACATCAACTTAGACAACTCCCCAACTCAAGAAACAACACAGCACACAGTGGATAAAATGTGATACTTGAAAATATTCTCAATCAAAAAATCTTAACAAGCTTTTATGTTAAATTAGGATATGCATGTACATTTCCATGTATTATGATGTGTACACATGTATGTTTCATACTTATACACACAATATCTCCTGAGGGATCTAACACTAATAGCGGAACTTTCCATAGTAGAATTCTGGGTTGTCTTCCATGTCCTATGTAACCACTCATTCTAAGAAACAGAGTTTTCAGACCTCCCAATTCAGATCACCCCTCTCCTTAACCCTGTGCCCTGTCTCAGATAATCACTGCCTGCTGCATTAACACGCTCCCTTCAGGTCCCGGCCAGTCTGTAGACGCTCTTGAAATGGATACTACTTAGTTCCCTGAGAGCTTTCGTACTCTGAGACAGAACCAGCTACCGTTCTTCCCTGACCTGATTTCCTACTCATCATCACAGCTGCTTGATTTGGTGCTGCTGGGATCGGGACAGGTCATGTGCTGTCACTGCGGATGAGTGACAAGCACAGCTCATGTCATTCATTCACCACCTACCTGCTTAACTACAGAGCCCTGAAGGAAAGCCTTGGAATGGATTGTGCTAGTTTCCTACCTTTTTTCTGTGTACTCGGCCTGACTCTGGGGAAACTGGAGCTTTACATGCCAGCAGAACTGCTGCTTCCTAGGAGAGAAAAAAGTCACAAGCACATGAAGCTAGAGAATCAAAGTCAGGCCTGAGTTCTCACTCTAAGGTTTTCTCTGGTTGGTCTCAGAACTTAAGCTGATGTTTCCAAAATCTTGGGAGCTTCCTGGAGTAATACACTTGCAAGGGTTGGTAAGAGGAAAGAACAGAAGTGAACCAGTTCTGAGGCCCAGGGACATTTGTTTTCCTGAATGAGGAGGTGATTTCTCATAGCAGGAGCTTCCGAGATTGCTGAGCCTAAACTTAAGAGTTTACAATACATTTCCCCACGATTAAGCACAGTGAGCTGGAGTCCTCGCCTGGCTGGTTTGGAAAGCAGGTGAATGAAGTATTGTCCGGCTGAGTCCAGCTGGCTGCACATGCACTTGTGAGGCATGACTGCGTGCATTCAGTAGCAAAACAGGACACAACAAGCTGGTTGCTAAGCAAAAAGCACCAAGTGCCTTCGCTTTCCACCTAAACTTTGGTTTGATACAGGACCTAACGCTTGCTTTTGGAGAAATGACCACATACCCTACTTATCACACCTAAAAACACAAAACAAAATTAAATAAAAGAAGAACGGTAACTACTGTTCAAAGTATCAATCACAGAAATTTAAATCTTTTTACTGAAGTGATGTGAAAATTTACTTTGACATCATGTACCTCCTTTTCCTTTGGAAACAGGATCTCAGGATCTCACTATGCAGCCCCGGCTAGCCTACAACACTTGCTATGTAGGACAGTTAGCTCTTGAACGCAGAGGTCAGCTTGACTACTGGATGACACCTGGCCTACATGTGTTTCCCTGTCCCAGTAGTAACTTTTACCATCCACTTGCTATGTATTTCCTTGTCTTAGTAGAAAACTTTTACCATCCACTAGTTGTATCTCTTCTAGACAATGATCAGTATCTGTTTGAAATTTATGCTGTAGGAGGACCCCCCAAATCTATAACTTTTTCCCCCAAGACAGACTTCTCTGTGTAATAACTCTGGTTTTCTGGGAACTCTGTACACCTGTCTGCCTCTGCCTGGAAGGTGGTGTGTGCCATGGCCAGCTGGATGGATGGGACAGGGGTTAGCATTTACTATTTACTATCAGTCCCTTTGAATTCATTAGGGATACTGTTCACCAGATACAACCAACCCCTTCAACAACAATAGGAATGTTGCAAACTTGGCATAACTACCTTCTCAAGAATAAAAATACCACCCACAATATTCTGCAGAACATAACTAATCCAAGGTGCTTGTTTATATTGAACAGATTGGAGAAATGGTGGGTATAGTTACTAACAGTACTATGTAGGGGATGCTGTAGCCATGCTTGCTTAGGGGCAAGGGCGTGGTCAGGGTGAGGCAAGGAAGGTTTAAGAGTGAGGGATGCTCACTGTGACTGCGCTGCTGCTTTTGCTTTCATCTTCGGCTTGCTGTACTTACTGCTGCCCCGCTGGCTGGCTAGGGTGGTCTGTAAGTAAGGCTTTTCCCTATTGAATTCCCTTGTATTTTTACCTGGCTCCGTATTGGTAAATTTCCCACATTATCTGGTTGTCAGAAGCAGGATCTTGTAAACCTAGGCCCCGTTTGGGAGAGCCTGTGGGTCCCACTGGGACCACAGACTAGGCTGGGAAAGTGCTCCCTCTCTCCAAAGGTGCTCCCAGCTCGCAGCTGACTCACTGCGTCACACAAGCATGTTCCCACTGCCACTGAGCCACTCAGAACTGACCGCTCAGCTGGGAGACTTCTCTAGACTTCCCCACGGTTTTACTGTCTCAGTTTCTAGCTGCCCACATGGGACCGGCTGGGACTGCAGTCTATCCGCGCCTGGAGGCCTCCTGCCCTTGAGCTGAGTAGGCCTCGGTTTTCAGCAGGGTCCTGTCTCTTTTAGTGGTTGTGGCTTCAAGGCAGTACACTCCCAGCTAAAGCACAGCCACCTGTGTGACCTCAGCTCCAGTGCCACCGCCATCTTGCCCCATCTTGCCCGACCGACCGCTGCCAAAGGCTGCGCAGACTAACTGTACCCCTGCACCACCTGTTGGTCAAAGATCTGGAGTAGAAATCAAGTAAAATCATGGTGGAATATTTATCATTTGCTAAAATTGGTAATATTTTTGCTTATTATGTGAATTCAATGTTTGAGGAGGATGCTAATCTGCCAATTACCGGTCTATATGCAGTAATGGCAGTTAGCTTGCTAGTACAAATAACATTGCTAGCCAGGGACCTCAGGAACAGGGACAAAGATAACCTCACCACCTGCTTGCAGGAAATAACAGCTTTACGAAAGGAGGTTTTGGAGAACAGGTTAGGTCAGGCCACATTGTGCAGCAAGTGGAAAAGAAATTGGATGACAAGCTTGGCTCTGTGTCCAATACGCTAAAGACAGAGCTGTCTGTTACCCAAGATGAGATGCAGTGTATTTATGATAAGATAAACACAGAGAGATCCTCCATGTCTGAGGTGTTAGAGGCTAGGCTGTCAGAGGACTGTGACAAACTAGAGAATATCTGTAGCCAGCTAGAAACTCAGATAGGCTCTGTGTCCCAGAAACTAGATGCAAAGGTGCAAAACACCCAGGATAGGGTTGAAGAATTGGACAATGCCATTCAATTAATTATTGAAGCTTCTCTAGGGAAGTAGATCACAAATTTGTGTCTAGATTCGAATGTTTGGAAGATAATTTACAGTACAGGGCTGACAGATTACATAGGTCCATATGGTTGATTGCTGAGGACTTAAAATCAGGAAATCATTTCCTCAAATCTAGACTCCAATACCTAGAAGGCAGTTTCCATACCATCCGGATGCTGTCTAAGGATGAGAGTATTAAAGACCTAGAAAAACGTGTAGAGGAGCAGTTAGAGCAATTTACAGATTCACTAACATGCTTGGAATCTTTTATGATGCAGGAAATTGAAACTTTTCATGAGAATATCATTACTAGGCTTAAAGATCATTGGGATGTCTCAGAGGCAGAATCACTCCAATCCAAGGAACCTACTCCACCCTCCACCCAGGTATCATGACTATTCCTCTAAGGTTGTTACTCATACACCATTAGTCTACCCAGCTAACATGGTAGAAAAGCCAAAGGTATCAAAGGTTTAGCAAGGTTGTAGCCGAGGTTTTCTGATCTTATCCCAAATATTCCTATCAGTGCACACACAACTACACACAGATACCACGTATTCTCAACTGAGGCAGTATTGGCCCAATGTCTTATGAATTCATGTCCTCCAAATGGGCAATATATAAACAGATATACAATTTATCAAAACATCACAGAATGCAGTTAGGAGGAAAAGGATCCCTGGGGAGGGGGATGTTAATAAAAAGTTGAGAAATAAGATGGCACATGTATGGCATAGGGAATATAACTATTATTTAATATTTATAGTCAAGAGTTACACATATTCATCAATGTGTGGAACTTTGGAGGATGATCCTTTCCCAGTTTCAATAAAGCAGTATGTAGATGAAGACCTGGCAGGGGGTTCTAGACTCATGTACTCAGTTATTCTTGACTTTACCACTTAAAACTGACATTTTAATATCCGAAGCTCTATCAGAATCCTAAGGAGTATGAAATTCCAAAATCATCAGCTCCTTTTAAATGGTACTATTCATGCTTCAGGGCTTGTTCAAACTCAGTAAGGAAGTGCACACAGAAAAGAAATGTGCCGGTTATCTGATTTGCAGATACACTTTGAGTATCAGAAATGCCAGGGAAACAAAGACAAACAGACCCTGCCATGCTGACCAAAACATAGTAGATTCAAGACTCTGGTATAAATAAAAATTTATCATTTAGGACAGTCCCGACTTTTGCCCATCAGTTTTGTTCCTAGGAATTTATACTGAAGAAGCAATTGAGCAAGTAGCAATATACACATAACTGTCCACTGTACCAAATGTTATAGTGGGGCTAGCTGGAAACAACCTCTATCCTAAGGAAACAGATTTGCATAATGAATGTTAAGGAGCCCTAAGGGACAGGCAGAACTGTGCAGTGAGGTAGGAAAGTATGCACACTGATTGATGTACTTCCAAGTCTGAGAGTTATGACACGGAATGCTTTAATTCTTATTTAAGAATAGTTCTGCATTAAATAAATCTTTCACATATGATCTGCTACTTTCCAATGCCAATAAAACCAAAGATAATTTTATGAGAAGTACCAGATAATAGTGAGACAAACATGGGGAGTAATCTTCACATTTTTTCCTAAACTAAAATACTTCCTTATTAGAAATATTCACTTGAACATGTAACATGTCTCTTCGGAAACTATTACTCTGGGGATGGAGAAGATGGCTCAGTTGGTAAATGGCTTGCTGGCAAGCATGAGGATCTGAGTTCAGATCCCTGGGGCTCACTGGCCGGCCATCCTAGTCAATCAGTGAGTTCCACACTGAGTGAGAGATCCTGCCTCAAAAAAAAAACCAAAAAACAAAACAAGGCAGAGACTCACTGAGGAACACATACCTCTGGCCTTTATACTCATAACACAGGCCCCAACGAGGACTGGAACTCATACATACATACATACATACATACATACATACATACATACTTACTTTACTCTGGTAGCTGCAAAGGTATTTTGTTGAGAAGTATGTCACAAATACCCAGCAATGCTGGCACATGCATATAATCCCTGACTTTGGGAGACAGAAGCAGGATGAGATCTGCTCCAACTACACATTAAGTCTAAGCCAGCCTGGGCTATAAGCTGAAGACCCAGACCCAGACTCCAGGATCCCCCACCTCAAAGATAAGAGAGAGTTGGAGATGGGGGCTAAATTCCTAGGACTGTGTTTTCCATGCTAAACTTAAAGGAGCTTGAGCAGGTTGTACACATCTTGTCATTCCAGCTACTAGGGAGGTTGAGGCACGAGGATTGAGAGTTCAGGGTTTGCAGGGTCTACATATGCTCAAAGTCCACTCTGCTTGCTTACTGACACTGTCCCAAAGCAAAGCAAAACAAAACAAAAGG